TGATAGGATGAATGCTGAATAGGAAAGGATTTGGAAGGAGGTGGTGATGCCCTAATTGAGGTACTGAGACAAACCACGAAACCCTCTGTCAGGAGAGCAGCTGCAATGTTTCCCAGAGTGTGGGGCGCTCCGCAGAACCAGTTCCAGTTCTGCTGTCAGATGAACTCTGACGTAAAGACAAAGAAGAGATAAGTTTCTTACAGCGCTGACTTGACTCGTTACGAATGAACTGATGCAGATATAATTGGGAGGGCCGGGGGTGGGGGCGGTTACTTCCGAAAGATGTGCCCGGATGTCAGTTTCCCTTACCCACACACACTGGGTGCGGCAAACCTCACGAGATGACCAACTCCCCACGAAGTTTGTCAGGAATCCTGGCTCGGTTCGATGCTGAGCCCAGAGGCCTTATCACACTCTGAGATATCTTGCCGAATTCATCATTCATAATCATCCTTCCTTTCTATGTTAAGTAACTTAACGAGTTCCATAAGCGTCGTTTAACAAACAGCTAAACAACTCTCAGCTTCTCACTGCGGTCAGCATTAAGATTACTCTCTTCTGAGATGTAACGTCGTGTAGTTTGGTAGAAAGGTTCTTTCTTCTTCTGGGGGCGCCACAGTCCGTGAAGAACCTTGGCCTGTTTCACGATTGGTTGCCATTGGCACAGACAGCGCTTCCAGACCTGGCCTCTGGGTTGTGCGTGGGAGGAAGTGTGACAAGCTGCATCGCGGTAGTGTTTGCAGCTACAGTGTGGGAGGGAGGGTGACGCATTGTAACTGAGGCGCTAAATACGCAGTCTATAATCCTTATTTCATTTAGAGCACTCAACCAAATGCATTGGATATTCTGCTGATAACGGCCAGGTCTAAACACGTGGATAATACTTAGGTTTCGGAGGAAAGGGCTGCCTCCTTCTTCATGACAGAAGAGCAAGTCGCGAAGCGAAATATGATACGGATATACGGTAAGGAGAATCGAGCTACAGCTGTGCCTGTGTGTGCTGCGGTGGTAGAAATTCAACTGTTTACTACGATAAATTACAAGTAGGCAGGTAACGGGTTCGATTCCCGATGAAGTCATTGACTTTTTTTTTAATCGACCTAATCCTTCCAGCCGCGCTATGGTCCTGGGGTCGACTCAACCTCTAACAGAAATGACTACCAGGAATATTCTTGGGGGTAAAGGGCGGCCGGCGCGTAAGGCTGACAACCTCACCGCCACGTGTGAGCCGACTGTCTAGAAAATGTGGGAGCCTTGACGTCTCACAACCGTATGGGCCTCCACGGCCTGTTACAGGGATAACTTTACTTTTTTCCCCCTGTTAAAGAATTCAGGATTTCAGCTCATCCGGACAATACCCTGGGCCACTTGAAACTAATTCACGTCATCATAACTTACTTCTTTGTGATACATTTTAATTTCCGCTTCGGTAACATCGGCAACGCCAACGCGCGCAACAAATGACATGGGTGGAGCTACTATCGCGCGAAAATTAAGTGCAGCTAAAATTGCAGCATGCGCAGCTGTGTAAATTACTATTGTTACGCCATTGTTCTCGTACAACTGACAATTGAATAACGCCATTGTTCTCGCAAAGCTAACAACTGACAACTGAATAATGTTCCACACTGCTTGGGCTTAGGGGATTACGGGATCAGAACCCGGTACCCCCTTCTCTTTCCGCCCACTTCCCCATCCTGAGAGTTCAGTGCGCGCGCACGCCTGAACCATAAGCAGTGATTACACATATGCAAATTCGGAATCAAATGGGACCATGTGTGTTCCTTCTGGGACTGCAGTTCTCACAGCGGTCACCTTCTGCAATGTGTAGCCTGGTAGATCATTACAAGACTTCTGAGGAACGTGCTGCCTTTATCTTATAACCTGGCGATGGAAGCAGCATGTTCCTCCGAAACATATGTACCTATTCAGCAGATTGCGCAGCATAGCATCCAACAAGACACTTCATATGCAGCATAATTCTTATTCAGTACACTACCAGGAATCGTCCTTGGGGTAAAGGGCGGCCGGCGCGCGAGCCTGACAACTTCACCGCCATCTGTGAACCGACTGTCAAGAAAATGTGGGAGCCTCGACGTCTCACAACCCTATGAGCCTCCACGACCTGTTACAGGGATAGCTCTACTTAACCTCACCGCCATCTGTGAGCTGATTGTCTAGAAAATGTGGGAGCCTCGACGTCTCACAACCCTATGAGCCTCCACGGCCTGTTACAGGGATAGCTTTACTTAACCTCATCGACATCTGTAAACCGATTGTCTAGAAAATGTGGGAGCCTCGACGTCTCACAACCCTATGACCCTCCACGGCCTGTTACAGGGATAGCTTTACTTAACCTCACCGACATCTGTAAACCGATTATCTAGAAAATGTGGGAGCCTCGACGTCTCACAACCCTATGAGCCTCCACGGCCTGTTACAGGGATAGCTTTACTTAACCTCACCGACATCTGTAAACCGATTATCTAGAAAATGTGGGAGCCTCGACGTCTCACAACCCTATGAGCCTCCACGGCCTGTTACAGGGATAGCTTTACTTAACCTCACCGACATCTGTAAACCGATTATCTAGAAAATGTGGGAGCCTCGACGTCTCACAACCCTATGAGCCTCCACGGCCTGTTACAGGGATAGCTTTACTTAACCTCACCGACATCTGTAAACCGATTATCTAGAAAATGTGGGAGCCTCGACGTCTCACAACCCTATGAGCCTCCACGGCCTGTTACAGGGATAGCTTTACTTAACCTCACCGACATCTGTAAACCGATTATCTAGAAAATGTGGGAGCCTCGACGTCTCACAACCCTATGAGCCTCCACGGCCTGTTACAGGGATAGCTTTACTTAACCTCACCGACATCTGTAAACCGATTATCTAGAAAATGTGGGAGCCTCGACGTCTCACAACCCTATGAGCCTCCACGGCCTGTTACAGGGATAGCTTTACTTAACCTCACCGACATCTGTAAACCGATTATCTAGAAAATGTGGGAGCCTCGACGTCTCACAACCCTATGAGCCTCCACGGCCTGTTACAGGGATAGCTTTACTTAACCTCACCGACATCTGTAAACCGATTGTCTAGAAAATGTGGGAGCCTCGACGTCTCACAACCCTATGACCCTCCACGGCCTGTTACAGGGATAGCTTTACTTAACCTCACCGCCATCTGTGAGCTGATTGTCTAGAAAATGTGGGAGCCTCGACGTCTCACAACTCTATGGACCTCCACGGCCTGTTACAGGGATAGCCCTACATTTTATCATTACACCGCAGAGATGAGCATTTGACTCGGGTTCTAATGTAACTGGTGCACAGATCAGAGGTGCATTTCAAGCCTTAAGAGGAGAAAATGAGAGAAGTGGGGAGGGGGAGCGCAAAATTTGTCCCTCTCTGAATATTCCCAGGCAGTGGCCTCTAGTCCTTCTGGTAGGTGCACGTCTGAGACAGGGTAAAGCCCTGGGAATTGAAAGAGGTAAAGCGTTTGGGAGTGAATTGGCTCGTTACGGGCAGGGGAGAGGTTGTGTGGGCGCTTTACTGCGTATGATCGGAATTTGAACGGATGAGTATGTACGGAGTATGAGGGGTGAGTCATAAAATTCGGCCCTCACATTGCGGCTTCCAATGAGCTATTGTGCTTCCCCCTTTGGATTAACCTTTTATTAATCCTACACTTCGAATGAAATGTAGGACTTTATTTATGGGGGTATCATAAAAGTGACTTGGTTCCATGAAGAACTGACTCAGGTGGCGAAATCTTAAGTAAGCTATGGCCTCACAATCACATAGGGTGTGTGTGGCTGATTCATCTTCTTGTAGGCACCTCTCACAAGTTGGGTCCTCTGTCAGTCGCAGTTTGGGAAGGTGCCCTTTCAGGTGGCAGTGTCCAGTAAGTAATCCTACCGCCCATCTGAGTTGGTCTCTGTTTAATTTTAACAGGTCCCTCGTTCTTCTGGCAGAGAGTCCTGATATAGATCCTCTTGCCTGTTTGAGTCCAGTTGTGGATTCCCAGTGTTTTTTGTGATTTCTGTTAGTCCAGTCCCTGATCGCTTTCTTGGCAACTCCAATTGAGATGCACCAAGCTGGTTCAGGTCCTGTTCTTGCCAGCTGATCTGCGGTTTCATTCCCTGCAATATCCTTATGGCCTGGCACCCATATCAGTTGTACTCTGTTATGTCTGGCCAGTTGTATGAGGGATTGGTGGCAGTCCCAAACCAATTTTGAAGTGATTTGGTGTGTACCAAGTGATTTAATTGCAGCTTGACTATCTGATAGAATCTAGATGTTCCTGTTTCTAAAGTTCCTATCTAAATTGTATCAACTTCACCTGTATTGCTCAGGTCCATAGTAGGCCTTCCGGTTAGGCAGTGTTCACTTGCTTTGCATGAGTGAGCAATTGTCTCTAGTCCTAAGGAAATGACATTAAGATTGCGGGTTCTTATGGGTATATCTACCTATGGCTCTACAGCCCTTTCTTGGACCTTCGCCGATTTTCAGTTTCATAATCCTACACACAGTCGGTAGGACTGCTACCTGCACACACAACAACATAATCATACAGTAAACGCACACAGACACCCATGTCTCAAGTGGAATTCGAACCCACGATCCCAGTGTTCGAGCGGGCGAACACTGTTCATGCCTCAGACCGTCAGGCCACTGTGACCGGCCGAGATGTCAGTACATTCTTCGTGTTGCCTGGAAGGACTGTCTAGGACAACGAATGTTATCAGCCAAGGATATCTGAACCGGGAACCTCCGAACAGGAAGCCGAATTGCCACTTTGTGTTGTACACAGAATTCTTCCGATCTGCCAAGCTGCTTTGTGGATCACGCAGTGGCGTCTCCAATTAGAGCAATTATAAATTAGTGTCTGATTGGTGACGCTTGTTTTCTTTTTATATTTGTAGCATAGTGCGCTTTGTCACGTAGCAATGTCTTTTGTCACCCCAGCAGACTGTTCCCACCGTGGGACAACATGTCAGTGCCTCAAAGTCTGTCTGTGTTCTGACACTACGCGCTCAAACTCGATTGTTTCAGTTCATCCTGTGTTGTGTGTCCACATGACGCAATAATTATTTTAGGCTGCGTTTCTCCAAGCCGATTGGTTTTTAGTTTCGGGGAACACCACCAGGGACCGTCTGTGTGAAGCGGTTAATGGTACATGTATCTGAGTAGGCTTTCTGCCTAAGTTCGCTGCATTTCGTGAAGAAATGGCCTGTTGTTAGCCTGATCTGTGGAGAGGGCGCACACAACGGAAGCTGTACCGTAAGGAAACCTTTTAATCTGAATTTAATATCTGGTTCTCTAGTTTAAATGGCCTCTACTTACTTCTGGAACACGTATCTGTATTGCTTTCTTCTCTGTAGCTCTGTAAATGTGTGCTGGGGAGTCTGTGATGTTGCCAACAGAACTTACATACACACCAACAGTGAGTTCAAAAACAATATGGCGCTGCTCCGCAAGCCACCGCAAGTTGCCTAAACGACTAGTTCTCTAGTCTGTAGTTGTTCCAAATCCAATTAAATATTGATTCGTGGTTTATTTAATGAGGGTTTTATAATTACACGAGTTACGTAACGTCGTACATTTATGAATGATGAATTTGTTGGAATAGGAAGGAATCGTCCGTGAAACATTTCCAATTATTATCCAAGTATTTGTCTGTAGCGACTGAAGAAAACCTTATAGCAATCTGTGGGCCGAAACTCGGTCTCCTTTATGTAGGAGGAATGCCAGCTTCCTGTCCGCCAAATTTGGGGCATATCAGGGTCAAAACACCTTGCGATATACGCAGTGATGTAGCTGGCTAGACCTGAAACCGGAAGTTCCTCTAAACGACATTTCTATTTGACTGCTCACTACGGGGCAGTGTAACTGTGTGTAGAGAGTCTAACGGTTTTATACCTTAACGCAGGACCCACATATCATTGCTGCACACCCATTGGCCAGTTCTCAACTAAACACCGCCATATTTCCTTCTTGCTCACAGCGAATTTTCGATGCGTAAATTTCGGTGTCTGTAAGTACTCACAGTTGGGCTGATAGTTTCTTGGTTTCTTGACGCTGGTGTGACACAATGTTTGCGGTTTCCATTTATTTATTTCTGGTGCTCACAGTTCCCTGTATGGGAACCACTGCGTCTGGTTAATTCTTCAAGCGGTTCTACTCTGGGTCCCCAGGGATGGGCTGTTCTCCTGCCTCAGTCCCTGGGGTGCAGCAGTCTCACTCAGCGGGAATCTCTTCTCTTCCTGTAAGATTTGAGGTTTTGACGGCGGTGACTATGAAGAAAGCAGTATTCTGGGATGTGGCACCGTGTAGATGCGGTGTTAACCGACGTTTCGGAGGAACGTATCGCCTCCATCTTCAGGGTAGAAGGAGGATGAGGAGGCGATACGTTCCTCCGAAACGTCGGTTAACACCGCATCTACACGGTGCCACATCCCAGAAGACTGCTTTCTTCCTGTCCACCCAGCCGATGAAGGAAACAACCAATGCTTTTAAATAAATATGAAGTAGGGATGATGTACAAAGTCTTACAACGGTGTAGGATGTATGGGAAACGGGAATTGAACAGGTGGACAGCAGGATAGTGTGGAGGGTCTCCTTCGGTCTTGAAAATCGTCATCTTTTTGTTTTTATAATCAACTAACTAACTAGCTTCATAGAGAAATAACTTCCCCATTGAGAAGCTACTAGTCGCCCAGCTACTCAAGAAATTTGCTCTTTTCTACGGAACGCGAAGGTTAATTGCCGTGTTCTTAGGAGCCCGCCTTAAATAACTTTACGAGAGCCTCTCTGTCGGTCTTGCCGGCCGGTCCCAAGCCGCTTCCGCGTGCAGCATATCCGGATCTGCCCCGTCACGCTAAGGCACGTAATCTCACATACTGATAACGCTCCGTGAAGCGAGGCTGTGCCAAGGGTCAGCCGGTTAGACGCTGTATCCTCACCGCGCCACCCCGCGCCCGGTACCCTTGACCCCGTGTGCGATTCGCGCCACTGAATCAGGTTTTCACCGAGTTTATCCGGTTTTACTCCGCTAATCGTCATTCCACCATTGCTCCATACTCATTCATCACCGCCTCCTGAGGTGCGCCATAGACCTGATCACGCAGCACCTTATCATATCCTCGGTCTTCACGTCTGGAGCTTGGCTGTTGCTCAGTAAGCAACTGAGCTACGCCGTACCATAACTGTGACAGTTCGAGCACGGGTCACGTCATGTGGGATTTGTGGTGGACTAAGTGGCACTTGGGAAGGTTTTCTCCGAGTACTTCGGTTTCTCCTTGCCAATTCTCATTCCACCGACTGCTCCACACTCATCATTATCATCTGTGGCTGGTAAAACAGCCCACTTACCAAGTGGACTCAGTCTCACTCCACCCCATCCCAATACACTAAACATAAAGGGTTCTGATCTGAGAACTGAGCGCCAGATCATGAAGTCTGACGGTTTCACTCCGCTCCCGGTACAAGCCGGTCTGGCCGCTTTGCAGGAAACAGAAACCTCTTCTTGCCCCTGCCAGTATCGACTGAGATACCGAGGCTCTCCCCTGAGTAAGGACGTCCCAATCTCCTAGTGAAGACGTTACGTGTCCCCTGCATTATTCATACGTAAGGACAGAGTTGGTGTCAGGTATAGAAATGTCGCCTTTCAGATGTCTCTTTGTCTTCTAATGAAGCTGTTTTCTTCATGGCTTACGCAAACAGGCTCACACAAACTGTACCAGGCTGCGTGTCCCGTGCTCATGGAATTCATAGACTCATTAGCGTTACGAGATGATAACAAACCGTAATCGGCCTTGTTGGTAAACGGGTGACTGAGAAAATCAGCCTTTAGTGCTTTGTATACGTAAGAATTTAATTTCTCTGTTTTCTAATGCGGACCTGATAGAGAACTTCCTAGTACGTACGGTGTCCACGACTGTTGAGACATTTGCAAGTACTGCAGTACAGATTTGTGGATGAAATTCGAAACATCGTTCGCAGTCTCTCTTAATTATATGAGTAAGCTTGAACTTCAGGCCGCGCAATAGCTAAGGCTTGCCACCTCGGCGGCCCGGATTCCATCCCAGACAAGATCATGTGGGATTTATGGCAGACAAAGTGACACTAGAGCAGGTTTTCTCCGAGTGCTTCTGTTTCCCCTGCCAGTTCTCACTCCAAACTCATCATCTACCATTCGCGGCTGGTACAGTAGGCCGGTAGTGGCCGATGTACGAACCGAACTCAGTCTCACCACATCCGCCCCAAGAAATGAAAGACTGGAACTTGAATTTTTCATTTTGAGTGTTATTCCTTCTTCGAGGGTGTAGCTACTTTACACTGTGATCCTGGCAGGGAAAACAGCCACGTCCCGCCCGAAGTACGGGAACTTCCTCTGGTATATTACGCGTATTAAAAGTTTCAGTTCCTTTCCAGAGAATAGTGGGACCTGTGCTTGGACTTCACTGGGGCAGGGGTTATCTGTTCGAGTCCCGGTCCCGACACGGTCTGTTTGTTTACCTGAGTCCCTTGGGACCGCGGCTGTCGCATCCGCTCCGCTCTACTGGTTTCCCTTCTGTTACTCAACTGTCACCCTTCCACTTGACGCTGTATCTGCGCCCTTAGTGCAAAGAACGCCTGCCCCACAGGTATGTCGAGCAGCCCTGAACCAGTCCTGCACACCGCCAACGAGTTGACGGCGCCCCTGGACACTCGACGCCGCGTGAGCATCGCTTCGGATCCCCCCACAGTAGTGGATGGGCGCCATTCACCCCATTTTGGTGGCCAGGAAACGAGACGCAGGCTAAGCGTCGCTTCATCAGACCACCCGGCGTCGGACGGTCGCCGCAAGTCCATTCTGGTGCAGCACACCCCGGACACAATGAGCGTACACAGTCACTACTCCGGGAACGCCCATTACGTGAACCACGCCTTCCAACAAGACGGTGAGCATGTTGAATTGCAGCCACTACCGCGTAGTCTGGTAGGCGGGCAACAGCGTTCTGGAGGAACAGGTGCGTCCAACTTGTGGCTTTGCTTCAGTACGTGCTGTGTGGTATAAGTACCTCCACAGAGTGTCTCAGTGTGGTGGCGGGTTCGAACACGTCCACCGACCCAGTACCTGAGGGATATGAATACGGGAACATGGCCCTCCAGCTTAGGGAAGTCTCGAATCTCAGTAAAATATGGTCATGAGTCCCGCGGGATCGGACTCGAGAATGACTGCACTGACGAGGACCAGCAACAATTGTAAAAGACAGACCCGTCCTCGTCAGAGAGGGCGCCCTCACGTCAACAAGCACACAACTGCCTGACAGTAATACAAACCTGGTCTTGGGCCCCAGATGGGGGTCTGACACCAAGACAGACTGGCCGACTGACCGTTCGTCGTTACATAAATTTGGCTTTGACTTTGACTTTGACTTCGACTTCTTTCCTAAGAAGCTAATAGTCGCTCAGCTAGACAAGAAATTCAGGTGGAGGTTAACATTAAAATATATAGGGTATGGACTGGATCCAGCTGGCTTATGCTCGGGGGCAATATCAGGCTCCAATGAACTTACGGGTTTCAGGGAATGTATTAAACAGCTGAGCGACTGTTAGCTTTTCGAGAAGCAGCCCTACCCAGAATAAATAACAGTCCCGTGCAAACTGCATAAGCCGTTCGTGCAAATGACCTAAAATGCAGAGTTGTCTCTGTTCTTAACTCACGAACACGTAGGGGCAGTGGAGGTGCAGTTCCACCCAGTATTAGCATGGACACTGTGTGGATGTGAGCAGTCAGTTTCACCCTGAGGAATGCCCATCACACAGGATGCTGGGTATATCCTCGCGCAAGTCGAACTGCTGTTCCCTGGCTGCCACCCAACCGAGGAAGATGGCTAAATTTGGTAGAAGCGCCGATTAGCGGCCGCTCTTTGAACTAATCTCGAGACATTTCGTTGCCAATCGAAATGAATGGGACCCCGCTCTTGTAGGAACTCCAGTGTAATCTGCACATCCTCCGTCGGTCAAACAGGACACTGCAGTAAGCACACTCGGCACGAATTCTTACCGATTACCCAACCGAGCGGGTTAACGTAGCGGTAACCTAGGTCGGGACTCCGGCTGTTATGAATGAGCTTTGTCCTGTGGCTTTCCTCAGTACCTCTCGGCATATTCTAACACAGTATCCAGGTTTTGTCACTTACTTAAGAATCCTTTGGAATTCCTGATTCGTCCTACCGTTCGGTACTGTGTAACCTGAGCTGCAGACAACGATGTTAATTAAGCCGTAAATTAGTTAACTAACAAGAGCAAAAAAAAAACGTAATGATGTGAAACATGAAATGTATGAAGAAGTTCTGGCAGGAAACATTCGCCTACTTTGCTTTGACATGACACGAACCGGGCTTAGCATTGCACGCGGTAGCGCAGTTGGTTGAGGGGCTGTGCTACAAGCCGCAAGGTCGCGGGTTCAAGTCCCGATGAAGTCATTGGATTTTTTCAATTGACCTAATCCTTCCAGCCACACTATGGCCCTGGGGTTCACTCAGCCTCTAACAGAAATGAGTACCAGGAATTAATTAAATCATTTTCCTGGGGAGTAAAGGGCGGCCGGCGCGTAAGGCTGACAACCTTACCGCCATCTTTGAGCCGATTGTCTAGATAATGTGGGAGCCTCAACTTCTCACAACCCTATGGGCCTTCACGGCCTTACTTTTTTTTTACTTTTTACTCATGTGGTAACCTTGCATAAAGAGACCACTTGGAAGACTTAGGCGTAGATGGAAATAAACTATACTGGCATGTACCTATTGGCATACATCTCAACGGAATGCTTGCTACCATTCGGCTCAGGATATGTTTTCCCTTGCGCTATCTAAAATCTTATAGATAAAAGAAATACAAATCTATAATTGTAGGCCCATCTCCCGTTTTAGGTGTCTGGACCCTGGGAGAGGAGCAGAAGTTGGGGGTGTTGAGGGGGATGTTTACATCGACGAAGGAGGAATTAACAATAGGATGGGAAAAATTGTATATATTAAGTCAGAACCTCTGAGGGAAAGAAGGCAATTAGTGGACATAGACGTAGATGGGTCTCATAATAACAGAGTGTGCAAATGCAGAGTGAATTAATCCGGCTGCGGATGGGAACCAGTGGCAAGGAATTTCTTGAGCAGCTAAGCGACAGTTCGCAGGTTTGTTGAGCACTGGACGCAGGCTCAGGTTGTGATTACTGAGACTCTGAAGGGGTTGAGGGTGGGTGAGGTGTAACGGTAGTGGGTAGGGTCACAGGTGCTAATGATATGACTTCTGCAGTGTTTGCAGACAACGGCAAGCCAGCCAATGGGGAGGGGCCCCTCAAGAAACACTCAATGACAGACCCCACGTACGACAAGTTGAAGTTGCCGCAGCCAGATGACATTGAAAAGTAAGTACGTAACGTTAAACTGTAAGGCTTGTGAAGAGTGTGCGTTGTTAAACATTTGTATCTCGTTTCAGTTACAGAAACACGACGCTTCAGAAACTGGCTTTCCTTCCTTTCTTGCCGGGGCTAGTTTCGTGCAATGGACCTAGTAGTGTAGGTTTCGTAATTTTCCCTGATGATGGAAGCAGAAGCAGCTTCCGAAACTTCGAATGTCTCTAACGACAAGAAGACGAGTGAAATGTTCAGTATATGTGTCAATTTAATTAGATATGTCTGTTGTGTGTTACGTCATACCAAGTGTGGACACCCTCACGGAGGAGAACTCTGGTGTGGCGGTTTTGGTTCACGTTGTGTGACGACAATATAAGCTAGCAGATTTCTAATGATGACGTAACGCTCTACGTCACTACTGATGACACAACGTCAAAGATATATCAGTCACAGCATAAGATGTGTGGAAGAATGTACGGCTTATGAAACATAATTTTATTAGTTAATAATGTCACTTATTTATTCAATTATTTACGAAGTCCGTCTTATCTAGTTCAAACTGAACATTCAGCGTTCAGTGCTTTTGAACCTTACGTAGAAGTGGGAGGAGAGTAATTTTGCCCTGTTCCCTGTGACTATAAGCAACTGTTAGCTTCTCATGGTTTCTTCAACAGAGCACCGTGTGAGGCAATGCGTTGAGCTGCAGCTGTTCGAAGGTGGCTCTGCGAGGCAGCAGCTGAATGTTCAGAGAAGAGGCTTGGGTGAATACAAGCCCACAAATAAGTGTAGGGGGCATGGAGGTAACTTCCAGCCGATTCGTAACGTCAACGTCTGATGAAATTCAGTAATCGGTTTCTTGTCAAGATACTGCGTTTACATCTGGGCATGATAGTAAAAATTAAAAATAATAAAAAAATGAGAAAAGGCCCTGTGAGTATATGGAGACAGGACGTTAGTCACAAGCTTGTGTGTTATCTGTCGAGTTATCGCAAATTCCAGTGCGCATGAAATCTCGCAATGCGCGATGACCCTGTAAGCATCCGTGTCTTGTGTTTCCACGTTAAAGCAGTGACAAACGAGATACTTCTGTTGTGGTCGGTAAAAACGGTTTAAGTCATGAGTAAGTACGAAGGCCATTAGTTCACTAAAGCCCTTTGTACCAGTTAAATATCAATATTTCTGTCATGTGACCTGGGCCCTGTACTTATATTATTTGTTTTTGAGGCTTGAAGGCTTCAGTTTAATTCGAAAAGAATAGTGCTTGTTGAACATGCAGGAGTACCCGTTCTTCGTCCGGTACATGGCTGCCGTCCTTGTCAGTATCACAGTATGGAGTGGCTATACCTTTAAACGGGGAACAACGCTCAAATTACGAAATTAAAATTGGATTTAGGTTTTTGTAGCGGAGACCCTGTTGAGTATTATCTTCTGGGATGTAACACCGTTTAGTCAGAAGTTCACTAACATTCCTCCAAAATGTTAAAAATTAAAAGTTTGTAAAATTTGAGGTTTTCACGGTGCCACATCCCAGAAGACGGCATTCTTCAATTAAAAGTTTACTCATGTAATCATATGTAATGCGATCTCAAGGACACGACTGGACATCGCTTTGAAGGGTCATGGTTATCGTAAAAGACATCAGAATACAGGATAAATTTCGTAATATCATTGGATGTTTTCTTTTAGGTCCGTGGCAGGAAATAGAGAAAATATCAGAGAACACATATATTTTACATAACATAATATTATACGAAGAAATCCGCAAGCGAAGAGACCGTGAGAACCGGTGAAAGCAGACCAGTCACCGCCGTGAAAGCCTCAAATCTTAATATTATATGCTTGTGGAAATGCTTATATGCTTTACGAAATTAGACTTAAGCCCTTTTTACCGAGTACTTCAGATTCCATCACGACAGTATGTCCCTCAGCCCCAGCTGTCTGTCAGTATGACAGTTAAAATGGCAGTACAATAAAGTCAGATAAAACGTTTCTGGGACGGAATATTTACGGGCTCAAATCACAATGGCAGCCTCTTACGAAAATTCACCTTTGAACTCGGCTCTGAAGTGTCTTATCGGACAGAGCGTTCAACATGGAATTAATTAGTCGTCACCTCGCAGATACATGCAATTACAACTCTTAGTGACGAGATACGCGTATCTAAAGTGAATGTTGGCTTCGGAACGGAGACATTTCCTGATATTCAAGACCTCTGCATTCTGCCCACACAATGCAATTTATGTTTCGTATGGTTCTCGCAGTAAACAGCAGATATTTCTCACTAGTTGGATTGTCTTTGTGATGGAGACACAGCGTGGTTTCTGTGAGGTACGAACTAAATTCTTAAATATCATTTAGCTGAAGTTGATGCTTCGTATGGCGGGCTCATCTCACCGATTGTAGTTATCGCATGGACGCCAGACTGTACAGGGACGAACATTAGGATGATTAGTAACTGATGAATTGGAAAGGATGTGGAAGGAAGCGGTCGTGATCTTATTCAAGGCACTACCTGGCATTTTGTCGGCTTAGGAAACCACTAATATCCTCAGTCAAGACAATGTGTGACCCTGCCGATATTCGAACTACGCACTTCCGCAATTAAAGTGAGAATGTTATCGCCTGATCCGGCGTGCTCGGTCCCAATTAATTTCTCTGTATTGTGAAATGCGCAGGTCATGGTTGTTCCTTTTCTGCAAGAGGTGTCGGCAGGAAGAGGGCGGGCCATCCTGGGAGCCACCGTTGTGGCATCGCCTGTGCCCCTACCCCTTCTGCCCCTCGTACCGCCAGTTCGCCAGGATACTGTCCCTCTGTCTGATCGGGCTGCTGTGTTGGGGCGTCGTGTACACCGTGCTGGGCGAAACAGCCGCCCCGGGCGGACAGCTCTTTGGGCTTGCTGTCCTGTGCATAGCGGCGCACTTCGGCGGCTGGCTCATGTCTCTGACGACGCTGCCCGCCCTCATTGGCATGCTCATGGTGGGAATCCTGTTCCAGAACGTGGGGCTGGTGCACATCGAAGGGGAGTACAATGAAGTGGTCAGTGAGCTCAGGTATGGATGTCATGCCACTGACTGGAAGTGACGTCACGAAACATTAAGAGACGCACTGCAAGCTGGGAATGTGACAGAAGAAATAAATACGCATTAAACTTGAGACACCATTTATTTCTAATTTATTAATGGTTCGTTGTACGGCGCTGTTAATATCTTAACATGTAGCATCGATTAATGGATAATAATTTGGAAATTATGTCTAAGGAAGCGGTCGTGGCCCGTTTCAAGACACGATCACGGCATTTACTTCGAGGAAGTGGGGAGAACCATGAAAGACCTCGGTCAGGTTAGACGGTGTCCCGGCCGGGATTCAAACCAGATGCCTCTCGAACACTAGTCGAAAGCTTTACCGTTTGATTCAGCTTTGTCAGTGAATAAATATGATGTAAGTTGGCAAACTGGCAAGATTAGAGGGAGACAGCGAAAGAGACGCGGGAAGACCTAGAAGTAGATAGGTACATTTCGTAAGGACTGACGAAAACTTAAGCAGTAGTTAGTAACTGAGATTCTCATGGCAGCTAGTAGAAGCGACGCCATGCGCTTTCAGAGGAGTGTACTGATTCATCTTCATTCCTGAAGATGGAGGTACAAGATTTCTCCGAAATATACTGTGTCATTTCACAGGTGCTCTCAGACCTCAGTTCACAGCAAAGTTAGAAGATCTCAGCCCGGATCAGGGGTGGGTACGGTGTGTGATCACTCCATATCAAAGTCAGGTGCGTGATAAGGCTGTGGAAACGACATGCATTCTCTTGAAAAGACTATCTCAGGACACAGAAACCGGATTTTTCTCAGTATTAAGCGATGTATCAGACCCGATAAAAGTCGGATGGTATTTACTCCAGATGACGCTATGACTAAATGGCAAGTAAACATTAATATCGTGTTAGTAACCTCTAACAAAACGCAGCTACATTGCGCGGGCAGCTGCGAAAATTATGCACCAGGATCTTCTTGGCACGGCCCCAAAGATGGCTTCACAAGATGGCAGAGATACTTTTTGTCGTGAGTCAACTGCTTAACTTAACTTGTCATAATCAGTTACACCATCTTTTCTCGACTTCTTCTAATTATCCGATAACGCAGCGAAGTCAGTTCAGAAAGCCACCAATCAACCGTCACCACAATGCAAATACTTATTGCGAAATAATGCGACGATCTTTAAGGTCATATGACGTATATACGTACATCGGTATGCACAAAAGCAACACTAAATTGCTGGCCTCTGGGATGTGAAGCCGTGTAGTCTGGTTCCTTTCAAAATCCGCTGTCTATCAAACTGCAAAGTGCCACATCCCAGAAACAGAGCAGGTTGGCATAGTAGTAGACTCGTATTCGAGAGGTATTGGTTCGATTCTCGGTCGGGACACTGGGAATTACAGCGGATTCCCCCAGTTCTTACATAGTACAACAACTAGGTCTGGTGATCTATTGGTCATGCGATAGAATCTCTGTACCCATTCCAACGCCCAGGAATGCCCTCACTGCGTCTATCACGAACATTGCTGCTGAAACGTCGACAAGATTTTAGTCTTCCTCTTCCACCAACTGTTTGAAATGAGAGCCAGTGTAGCTCAGTAACTAGGTTGTGGGCTGGACCACCGAGGAACCAAAGTTCCATTCCCTAGAGGGACAAGAGACTTTTTTCTCTTTTCCAAACCAACTCTGGTGCTCAACAACCCCAACAGGAGTTCTTTCTTCAGGGGAAAATTGGCATCGATATGTAACTTACTATTACCTCAATCTAGTGCTTGCACTAAGAATGTGTGGGGCTATACCTCTACTCCCCCATGTGTCTTTGTAATATGGTGGTTAGTTAAGTTTAAGGGCTGCTAATTAATTATCATGACCTAGTCAAAGAAAGTAAGTCCTGTAACTTTGTTTGGAAGCAGGCCACACAATAGTTTAACTTTCAGCACACAAACACATTGTTCTGTAGCACACATAAGCTTTTCACCTTAACATTCATTCCAGTGTTTGGGTTTCTTTCTCAGTGTGTAGTGCGTACAGTTTCTAAGAAAATATAACCTGCTGAAACTCCAGAGTGACTTTCTGAACATTCTGTATGAGATATAAATGCCTGAACCCCATAAAACATGGCCCACATGAAACTTGGGAGCATTGACAGACCAACATGTCTGCGTGCTTACTCAGTTCCGCCAGGCAAATGCTGGGAGATTTCTGACTGAATATGGTCAGAGCAATCGAAAGCACAATGAATAACCAATAGAAATTGTTGTTGTCCTTCTTATTATTATTTCTCCAGTGCATATTAATGTTAGTTTCATCTTCATCTTCTCGATCATCATCGCCTCCTCCTCCATGTATTTCGCCTTTATCTGCTGTCTGAAAATTGAAATCTATAAAAGTCTATAATAAACTAGGTTTCAGGAGACAGGTTGTCTCCATCTGCAGGTAGAACGCTGAACACTTAGTCAACTTTCTGGGTTCATCTTAAAAAGCTACCTCCACAAGTGCATCCAACGATGGAGATTGCCCATAGGATTAATTCAGTTTTACAAAAGATTCCAGAAGATTTTATTTTCAGACATTTTCATTAAAATATCGACTTTGATTGCAATTTACTTATCTGTTTTTCTAACTTCTCCTGTTTTTATATATTTCTGTCCTTCCTCAGCTGATGATGTTGAATGTGGATCTGTTAACAGGAAGATAGCTCTGGTGATCATACTTATACGAGCCGGCCTTGACCTTGATCCATCTGCACTGAAACGTTTGCGTATCACTGTCCCGAAGCTTGGACTTGTGCCTTGGGTGGTGGAATGTGCTGTCGTTGCTGTGATGACACATTACTTGATGGATCTGCCATGGATCTGGGGATTTCTCCTTGGGTACATGTGGTCACAATAATATTTATAGTTCCTAAATGCTACTTACGCATGTAGAACTGATTACAGGTGTAAGTATATGTTATACAGGTGTGTACCAGCTTTGCAACACAGTGGCCATTTCCGAATTTGGACTTCATTTAGTTATGTCCAAAACACAGAAGACTGTAGCTATCTCAGTAAACTGTTTACAGTACTGTAAAGTTGTACTGTGAGGAACAACTTGAATAAGTTAAATACATAAAAACTTTGATTTATTATTTTGGAATGGGATCTGAACAAATATGTTATAAGTTTATAAGTTACGACTAAAGGTGGAATAATGACAAAGCTGCTGTTATGCATCTGAATTTAAATTATGTTGTCTGAATAAATAACCCATATAATGAGCATGTTCTAGGTCTCTTCTCAGGTGGCTAAAGAATGAAAATGCTTCTTTTAAAACAGTTCTGTTGGACTTTCTCCAATGTCCCAGATTTTTACATAAAATTCAGTGTTTTTGGAAACTGGCTCTTATTGTATGAAGAAATTCCTTCCTTGTTGGATCCCTAGGTAGAGTTCAGTTTCTTGGAGATCAGAGACTGCAATTGCAAAATTATTAAGGGGCATCAACACTGGCAGATTACTGAAAGGGTAGTTAATCTGCTCATCTCGCTCAAAGCCATATTTCCACAGTAGAAGTCTCTGTAAGGGGGATATAATGTTTCAGGTCTATCATAGCTGCTGTGTCACCTGCCGTTGTCGTGTCATGTCTCTTCAGGCTGCGACAGAAGGGCTATGGTGTGGCCAAGGGAATCCCAACTCTCATCATTGCAGTGTCTGGCATTGATGATGCAACATCAGTAGCCATCTTTGGCATTATCCACAGCCTCATGTTTTCCTCAGGTCAGTAATGGATCAGATTGCTTAGGTCAGGGTTCTTCAGCCGCTCTGGGGCTTAGAAGCAGCGCAGTTTCTGTATTGATATCTGTCTTTTAATCTCCTAGACACTGGAGATTTGTATTCTGCAATGTGACACTGTTTAGTCTGGTAGATATTTACTGACATGTGGTAGAGGAGAGCCTGCTGCTTCCATTTTCAGGGTGGAAGTAAATATGTTCTAGGTTGCATAACATCTTATTCTGGAAAACAGTAATTTTCATAGTGAGCCATAAGAGCCTCAACTCTTGTACAATATTTGACATTCTTGACATGAACATGTTAAAATTTCATGACATTTGTAATCTTGTATTATTGCTTAAAGTATTGACACTTCCTTTTTGATTGACTTACCCACTTCACTTTATTTTTATGTTTCAGATGCACTTGTTTTCCAGATCATTCAAGGCCCTCTGTCCATCATTGGAGGCATTGGGTTTGGAGTTCTCTGGGGAGTTCTAGCTAAATATGTTCCTGAAAAGCAAGATGTAAGTTCTGTGTCTCATATTGGCATTGCTGCGACAGCTGTGTTAGGAAGATCAGAAGCCTCTGGACCAGTTATACCATAACCTCTAAGAGACCAATCACAATGTCAGTGCAGTTCTAGTGCTGCCAGCACCTTCCCTTTCTGCACAAGGCAGAATTATCTGTTAGTGAAGTCGGATCAAGGAAGAAATGAACATGTGATATCCCCAATTTTCACGCATTTCCATTTGTATTTTGCCTGTCTCCGCATCCCATTTTTTATCTCAGTTCCTTGTTAGTGTGGACCAAAGCAAGGTGTGTAATGTAGGTCGAGCCTTGGAGCTGACAGTCAGCTTGAGCCATTAGGAGCCATTTTCATTCTGTCCCTGATCCAAAAGTAGGCCATTACAAAATATTGTTCTTGCTATCCCTCTTAGGCTACAGCATCAAACACATGTCCTCATAACTCTGAATGCAGTATGAGCATTAGTCCGTACACAAGACAGGAACTTTCCTTCATATTAAAATACACATTTTTCAGTGGCAGGAATCATACAAATATTGTGCAAAGACATTTATGATTATTCTGTTGCTTGTTTTAAATTTGAATTATCACCTTTTCCAATCAATGAATATCCTAAATTCCTTGGTCCAAATTAATATCGTATTCTTTTACTTTTTTTTTTGTAGGGTTTTGAATATTGCTGGTTAATTGGGTTGTAACATCAGCCAGGCAGATTACTTTCCATTTTTATTGTAGGTCTATATGAATATACATGAGTTGTTAATCGTAATGTTTTGGTCTGTAATTGCTGATGAGCGTAACTCAGACTTACCATTATAAGGATAATGCATTTACAGGAGGGTTTCATTACATTCACATTTTGAAATGGAAACTCTTCAAAATATCTTTGAAGATGTATTCTATTTCCTGTGTGTTATATGGGTTCATTAGCTGCTTTGAATTGTCTGTGTCAGTCGTCCAGGGATTTTCTTTATAAGTTACAAGCAGAAGTATCATGGTTGCTACATCGTCAGCATCACAATATGTATATAGGAGCTGAGGTAAGGCACTTCCAGTGCGTAACACTGGCCCATGTAGGGAGGTGTGCTGGATAGAAGGAAGGGTGATGGTAAATGCCCTACGCATGATGATGGTCACAATAGGCCGAAACGTAGGTCGTACCGAAAGTCATGGGAAGTTCTTCCACACCCCTCCTATAGCCCTGATCTGGCACCCTCCGACTACCATCTTTTCGGATTTGTGAAGGATCAGCTGCGTGGACAACGTTTTGATACAAGGGAGGCAATTCAGAAAGCAGTGCGTCAGTGTCTTCGGATGGCTGGAACGGAATTTTACAGAAGGGTAATTTTCAAACTCCCAGAACGCTGGGAGAAATGTGTACAAAGAAGTGGCAATTATATGGAAAAATAAAGAAAGGTCTGTAGATTGAGGTGGTGTATTTGGTTTGTCAATAATAAAGCATGTTACTTTACAAAATATTGTTGCTCACGACTTTCAGTACGACCCTCGTACATGCAAATATAGTTGTGTCAACTGAGTAGCAATAAATATTGTTAGAGAAGGAAGAACACTCAAATTAAGGTATTAAAATTTACTGATGTAATTGAAAGAATATTGGGACTGAGGATTTCTATTTCCATCCGAAAATTGTGTAGCAATACTTTCATGTCTGCTGTACACAACAGCAGGAGCAGGGTGTAGATTTCAAAATATTGTTGTGTGTTTTCTTGTGTGTGCGGTAAGAGACAGGAAACTAAGAAGCTACATTAATATGTATAGTAGGTAATGAATCTGCAACAGATTTGTGACTTTTCACAGCCGTTTGTGGTACCGCTACGGATTCTGATGCTGTTTGGTGGCGGTTTAATTGCCGTGCTTGGGAGTGAGAGCATTGGGTATGGAGGGGCTGGACCCCTTGGCTGCATCACAGCTGCCTTTGTCTCTTGTTACTTCTGGTCAAAACAAGGCTGGGAAGTTGAGGACGTAAGTGACCGCCTGCCACAACATGTAACACAGAATATATTGCTTTCATTAAATGGAAAGTTTATTTCTAGAAGAATGTTGCTGTAAGAGGAACAACTGAAATGAGGACAGTTTTCACAGCTAATTTTTGCAGATGTTTTAACCCCTTATGATCTTTAACCCTTTGCATATCGTAAACTGATCAGATAAACTTGAGGGTACTTACATTAAAACCACCATAGCCAAAGAGTTTGGCTTGTTATTGGGCTGTTTGCACAAGTATATAATTTCTGTCAATAGATGGCATCAAGTGTGACATGCCAGTGTTCAGTGGAAAGAACAGCTTCTTGTTAGAAGCATATTTCAGGAACGTATTGTGGGGGTTTCTGTGCTACTGCAATTAACCACATCAGCCTTGGCATATTTAGTGGGTAGCTCTTTGGCATGGTTTGGCAGTCAAATATTTCAGTTATATAATTCACACACTTTTTAATTGCTCAAATGGGCAGAATCTGTCCGAAAGTCAAGACAGTAGCATGAGGTAGCTTTATTTCATTTTACTCTGTCCATGAGTCAGGCTTCCTGTTAGTACACAGTGAATGAAATTAATACATGAGGTAGCTTTATTTCATTTTACTCTGTCCATGAGTCAGGCTTCCTGTTAGTACACAGTGAATGAAATTAATACTTTCATAGCTTTGTATCAGGTCATTCAGCTTGCATGACTGAATCAAGCGGTGATATGAACCATTTTTTGCATGTTTTTGGAACACATCCTCTTTGATCTAAATCCTTACTATTAATGCTTACACAACTGGATAGTTTGATAGCTCCATAGTTACATGGATACAATCTTATTCTATATATGTAACAGTAAATGCCATCAGCACGTCCTATGTCATCATAGTAGAAGACACGAACAAGGAGGTTCCTCCAAAACACTGGTATCAGCCTTCCTGACTGTGTATTTCATAACACCTCAGAAGACTTTAATGTTCACATTCACTATCGTGAGAACCTCAAATTTCTATGACCATTAGAAGGTACAGTGNTAGCATGCCACTGGAGGTCATGAGGAAGATCACGTCCTCAGATTTGTCAGTTTGGAGTGGAGATTTGGATGACTCAGAATGAATTACCTTAGTTTCTTAATGTTTCTGTCTCCATATTCCTGTCTATGTTCATAAATTTATATTGACTTTGTTTTTCAGAATCCTGTTGCCACAGCATTTGAGATATTCTGGATGATTTTTGAACCTATTCTATTTGGATTGACTGGAACTCAAATTAAAATTGATGAGTTGGATCGTTGGACAGTTAGCATCGGCATTGCATGCCTTCTTGCTGGAATCATTGTAAGTACACAACACTGTAAACTTGTGGTATGCAAAGACCAAATGAAATTAATTGAAGGGAAAGTGTTCCTAGCATCACGTCATGAAGTTGTGTGGGGAATAAGCAAGGCTTCTCATCTTCTCGGTTCCAACATTAGATGAAGTTGAATTGGACATCTTCATGTTCTGGCCAGCATGTTTCTGGGAAAGAGCCCCCAGTACCCATTAAATATGGACACAGACCCCATGCAGCAAGTCTGATGTGTCTGTACATCTGTAATCACCAGAGATTACAGTGAGAAGACAGTTATAAAATTATGTAAGATTTGAGGTTTCCACGGCGGTGACTAAAGAATTCCGTCTTCTGGGATGTGTCACCTCTGTCTTCGCTTGCAGATGTTCTTCTTTTTTATTCTGCCCTGAAGATGGAGGCGATACATTCCTCCGAAACGTCGCTTAACACAATATCTATATGGTGCCACATCCCAGCAGGCTGCTTTCGGCACAGTTACAAAATTGTTTCAAACCTTTGCATGTTGCTAGCAACTCACATGTGGTCAGTGCCTGACCAGCAGCAACAGTCAAGAAGAAACCTTCAGATGTACGAAACATGCCAGTACTTCTCCTCGTTACGCATATAACTGAATCAGTTGTCTGTGTTTTAGATTCGCATCATCTCTACTGTCTTTGTCGCCATAGGTGGAAAGCTTAATCTCAAGGAGAAGATATTTGTTGCTCTGTCGTGGATGGCCAAAGCTACAGTCCAGGTAAAACACAGCTGTCACTTTGATCCAAATTCCTTTTCTAATACTCTTAAACAATATACAAATTCATTTTTAGCGTGAACTAAAATATATTAAAATATCCATTCACTATTACCGATAAATTAATATATGAATGCTGTACTGCATCTGAAGAACCCAGACTGTTTTGTTTCCTGTGCTGCTGATTACTGCTGGCTAATCTTCATCGCACTGTTACTTGTATGTGTATGTTAATAGAAAGTGTACAGTGGTAGGCCCCTTATTTATAGAATTTTACAGATTATTTGACATTTTGGGCTTGCTTTGCATAGTGCAAATGAAATTGACAGATAAGGGGAGGTTATATCTAGCCAGCCACATGTTACATCCCCAAGAGAACAGTACTACCCGCTGTTGATTAGCTTTACCTATCAGTTCCTACGAAGAATAAGCTTTCCTTTCTCCCTGTTTCACATAAGGTCAAATATCCATTCTCTGAAATATTGTCATTTTCAGAATTTATATTTAAACTACACGCTGGACAAGGATCAGATATTGCCATATTAGCAGTAGTAGTGGCGGTGATGATACACTGTTATCATCAAATTCTACATTGATGATAATATGATAATATTGGAGATGTATCATAAGTCTGTCTTCACATCTTGTCAATTTCGGACTTCATGGACTATGGGAAATAGATGTCTGGGGTAGTGCCAACTACTGAATATAAGTGTAAACTTCATGATGGAGGAAAGAGGGTGGAGAAAAGATAGTTACTTAATTGGTAAAAGGATTCCATACTCAAGGTTACTGAAAGTTCATGACTGTGTTCACAAAAGCCCACCATGTACCCCTGATGTTTGGGACAATATACCTATATTGTATATAGAAAAATCATGACTTTTTAGAAAGTTATGGATGTACAGGGGAGACAGTCGTTATACTGTGGCATATTTGCTCAAAGCAAGAACTCTGGAGTCAGAGAAACAGCCGTTGCAAGGTAATGGAATGCAAACCAACTTCATTAAAACATACATCAAATTTAAATAAGGTAGAAAACAGACTTGATGACTGAGCACACAGCACAGAAGGGTTCAGTAAACTTCAGCATGAGACTGAAGGTCTCACTGAAATGACTATGAAGGCTGTGATGGTGAGTGGTCTCGTAGACATTTACCGCAGTTTCAAAGGAGCCTGTAAACCCCATGTTCAGGGTGGAAGTCTCTTTGTATCTTAATTTTATTTACAACACAAGCTCTTATGTTCTCATCTTTTGTCTCCTACATTGGCCATTTTCGTAGCGATTTATTTTCATTTTGTGAAACAGTTACACATTCACAATACTACGGCCATATTTGTGGCATATCATTTGATTAGCTCTTCGTTCAGTTTATGGTTCAATATCCAGTTTTCTTTGTGTGAATTATGGTGGTAAGTGGTCCCTCTCAGGTTTTATCATGGTTATTCTGAAGCTGTTGACATACACTCCACCATTAACACTAAAAAATGTTGTCATCAAATTATCTGTAAATAATATATAATGACTTAATTAATAAATCTCAGAAAATACACTATGTCACTAATACAGTGAACAAGCAGTTAAGGTTGTTTAGAGAAATAATTTATTGTGAGAATTATATGAAATATGCAAACATACATTGTCACTAAATGCAGTTGGTACCTAGTGTGAGTATGGTGCTCACATTACACTGTGAGTTGTAGGCTACAAGTAATAACGTTTCTAGGATTCTCTTTTGATGGATATTGAACCTGCAAACCCATCATAATATGGCCCTTTATATAACAAAAGACAGAATAGAATGTGGTTTGTGCAGGCAGCTCTGGGTCCGGTAGCACTGGATTCTGTGCGTGACGGCAACAGGCCTGACGAGAGAGAGTATGCTGAGCGGGTGCTGGTGATCTGTGTGCTCTCGATCCTGCTCACAGCTCCCATTGGAGCCATACTCATCACTTTGTCTGGTCCACGCCTCCTCAAGAAGACCACAACACCAGCCATCATTGAGGGCTGGCGACGCAGTGCTCGTCCATCTCTCAGGGACATTTCTATCAATGATGAAGATGATGACACAGCAGCCGTGGCCTCATAGTACAACCCGTCAGTAGCAGTGTACCACTCTTGCCAACAAGACAAATGTTTTAGGAACTGTTATGCTGCCTACACGGACTGACACTCAGCTGTTGGTCATTGCAGAAGTTTACAGATGCCAACTATGCAGGGTGGCACAAAACTGTGCATTCTCAACCTGCATTTGCCCATAACATCTGTGGATCTGGGTTTGGAGTACATTGAACTGAGGATGGCTGTTACGAATTGCTACATTCAGCCTGAACATTTGTGAGCTGCAACATGTCTGTCAAATAACAAATTTATGATGACACATTTTCTGCTGGTTCAGAAGAGACTTTTTGTTTCCAAGCTGAGAATTAACTCAGAAACGCCCACGTTTTTAAGAGCAGCTCATTACATCACTGATGATAACGAGCCCAGTGCATTATCAGAACTATTGAAGAGTCACATTAGAAAGTAGGAAATTCCGTGATAGTACAAGAATATATTTTCAGTATTGGAAAGAGTGGAAAAGTGATCCTAGGATGTCCCATAACGCAGATAAGACTATACACATGGTTAAACATAGACAAAAGCTGATGACATTGTGAAGTACTCAGATTGTAAAAACGGTCAAGTCACCTTAATACTATAACTAAGTGCCTGGTACATATGTCAGTGACATCATGCTGCCTCCATTGGGACAGAGCATCACAGTATGTGTGCTCCTTACAGAACTACTCCCAAGTGCATAGCAAAGTCTGGATTACCGGTAAGTGTCTTGTGTTAAGTGATGCGTTCAAATGACCAACATGGTGAAGCTGCTGGATAGCGTAACCATTTTGAAGTATCTGTCTACAGACAGACTAGATTATGCCACTTAGCTACAATTTGTCATTGTATTGCTTATCAGTGAGTAGGTCTTTTCTGGAGACTGAGGATGTGTCAATGTTTGGCTTTGTGTAATATATGTGTTCTATATCGGGACGAATAAAGGCCATGCTTTACTTTGCTGCCATGTGTGTGTGGATTGGAGGTGGAAAACCCAAACATTATTTGTATAATTGGGATTAGTATTGTGTCACTGGTGGGATTACATATTCTATCTCTCATTAAGTCAGTGGATCAAAGTTAAGCTATTTAAATTCAGTGAGATGAATTCATTATCTAAAGTAGTTGATTCCTTCGATACACCAGTAATGCAGAATCATTCATTCAATAAAAAAAATTATCAGAAAGTGACAACAAAATTATATATATCCAATATTGGTATAAATCTGATTCATTTACTTCGAATTTGTAAAACAGTTTTAAATTAGATGCTCTGAATTGCTGGCTAACAGGATTTATGATCTAAATAGAACATTGTTAAATTAAGGATTTGAAAGAAAAATAAAATAATTTTCAGCTTCTGAGTGAAGAAATGAGCTGTTACAGGATCAGACATTACACTAATTTTGTGTTGACTTTTTACTGAAAACGTAAAAGAACTATTAATTTTCATCTTGAAAGATCTTGACCTGAATTCAGCAACACTTGATGTACAGGTACTGGGGGACTACACAGATCCAAGAAGACATCGTCCTTTACACCTGTTAACCTACATTTAAAACCATTGCAACTGCTATAGGTTACCTGAGAATAACGCAACAATATTTCTTGCAAGTCTCAGTCTTGTGAACAAGTGCTCAGGTACTGAACTTAATGTTTTCACTTTGTCATGTATTGGTATATGTGATTTTCAATTTAGTATGTGTACACGCTATGTTTATATACATACAAGGGCATTGCTGTTGGGACAAATCTCATATTTGTAAACTTTAAGAAAACAAATAGTGTACTCACAGGAAATGGAATTCTGTATCCTGGTTCTCATCCAAAAACTGAAATAATTAAGATGTTCAATAGACAGCAAGAAGAATGTAAATATGTTTCAGAAGTTATTCTACAGTAGGACAATTTCCACATCCTGGTTTTTTAACTTGTAGGGATATATATGGAAAATAAATAGACAATGAACAATATGAATTATTTCTGTGCTGGCTTCATTTTTGGGTAATTTAGAACAAAGAATTCTCAAAACCGTATATGTACATAGTACTCTAAACTAACCTAGCATGTCAGAGGATGTATGTGTGCATCTGTAGCATCAAAAGTTCTAAAAAAATACCTTCGTTTTAGATTAGAGTTAACAACATTCCACTGGTAAGTATTAGTAAGTTTACAATAATAATAATCTTTAAATTACATTTTGTTATATAGTAGATAACCCAGAGCGTATGCATACATTATTATTATCATTTATCATCATTCAACAATCCATACATACAGGTATTACAACCATTTGGATAAGGAAATTGTCAGTTACCACTGGCTATAACCAGTGACAGCAAACGGATTATTTTTGAGGTTGATGAGGATATATTTTCTAACCAATGGAACTTAAAAAAACAAAATTAGATTCAGTTAATAGTAGTACACAGTTTAAGCATTCCATCCTGATTACTTAATCTATGGAGTCTTCAGGAGTATAGAATCGCCAGATTTCAAATATTTGAAACAAAATCATGCATGAAAGAGATACATGTGTTAATAAATCAAAACTTGTTGAATGTTTTACAGTGTGTGAGTGCCAGAACCTTTAAGTATAAAGCAGATATGACAGTCTGAAGAGTGAAATGAAATGAAATGCTGCTATGTAGATCTATGATCCCCAAACAAATTTGTTTAGCAGTAACGCTGTAAGGTTCTCAGTTCAAATATTTGCTGGGGCACAGATTATCCTAATGTTTTTCATGGTTTCCCTTGGATCCTTCAGGCTAATGTTGGGATAGTACTTCAGTTATGTCATGAACATGTCCAACTTTATTCCAGTGTATTGCTTGTCAGTTGTCCTACTGTTCAGTGCTATATATTCTAGATACCTCCACCATTTTAAAATAACTCACAAAAATAAACCAGTCTATAAACCATAAATGATGAACTTGCAAACAACCAAAGGACACCATTGCCTTTATGAGACTTGAGATGTTTGTGAGGGTTCATGTTAAGTTCCCCAAAAATAGATTAATTGAATTTGCAGAAACAATAAATAAGGAAAGACGAGAAGTTCTAGATGCTAGTTCTGTGATGCTTATTTTCCTGAAATATTTCCATCTGGATAGATACACTAACCTAACCTATAAAGTAATTGCGATATAAATTAATATTTTACATAATATTTTTGCCAAATGTTCATAGTCCAGAGTTCGAAAATATCGAAGATGTTAGACTTTTTTGAAGATGATCTCTTCACTTTGCTTTTGATTTTTAGCATACAGTAACTGTAGTTATGGTCATAAGTTATCACCTCAATATAATTTGTATTAGGAGCCAGCAATGTGTGGCACATATGCCATGCCATGTCACTGTAGGGGATTTTAGACAGCTCTCTGATCCAAGACACGGGCATGACAGAAATTCAGTGCAGGATATTTATAAATTAAGAAGTTGCTTGCTGTGTGGCTTGATTTTAGACTGCTGATGAACTGAATGGAACTGCATAACTCGGCTCTGGAGTCACTCCCTTTTATACGCCGGTCGGTGGGGCGGAGCCAAACTCGAAAGTGAGGAGGAAGAATTGATTGGCTAGCGCGCGTAATGGTGTAGACGCGGGCTAGCACCGAGCGTAGTATAAATGCGATCATTTGAAGCAATCTGATTGGTTAGCGCGCGTGATTGTGAAAAGTGATGTGAAGAGCGAGCGTTGCAGAAATGCGTGATAATGTGGGATGTTCCCACAGCCTTAAGTCTAGTAGGATTGCTTTTATAAATTCTTCTTTAAAGTTACAGATGTTTTAGTTTCCCGTCTAATTCCATACATCAGAACATTTGATGACTTCTTTCTCCCCTTCTTCCTCCCATTTGAGGACTGGGAGTTACAGATATTCCTTGTTTTATAACATGTGATTTCATTCCCTACCAGTTGTTCCCAACTTGATCTCTGTTCTCCTCTTGGATATTTTTATTTTATTTTGTTTTTACATTATTATTATCATCGCCATCATCATCATCATCATCATCTAATCTGCAGTATACATGTGGGATTTTTAGGACCTATTACATGTCTTGTTCAACAAACTAAAAAAGAATGTTATTTGTGGTTGTATGTTGGCATTAATGTCCATAACTATTTTATTTTATTTTATTCTGATATCAACATGAGTTTCTGAATTGAAGAAAATGGATGTTTGTAGTACAGATTTGTAATTCCTTGTATAATGCATGGCAGGCTGTTCAAATATGTTCAGCAAATTTTGGTACAGTAAATCACAATGTTGCAGTCATGAGAAGCATAGCATAGGATTATAGGTCCCATGACTGATTCTGAATTTGGAGGTCATTAATGTTGTACAGGAAGGAGACACGTTAACCATATGTACCTTGATAATATAATTATTCTTTATAATTTCCTGCTATTATAGCTCAGAATTATGGAGTCTTAAGACTCTTGTCATAATGACATAGCATAGACATACATTCCAATAAATTGGAAGGTGGTTTTTAAGTATAACAAGAGAGCTGTAGAGTTAGGTTGTAACACTTGTATAAAGTACACATAAAACTGCATGTAATGTTGTAAAATCTAACCAATAAAGTCTCTTAAAGTATTTAGTTCTGTTATAATGAAAATCTTAAATTTGATGATAGGTACTCTACCAGACTGGCATTGTGTGTTCATCTTAAGCATATATTATTTGTAATTTCTTTATTAAAATCCATCACAACACAACAATATCAAGGTCAAGGCCAAGGCCAAGGCCAAGATTGGCTTGGCTACATGTTTCGGTTATTAAAGCCATCATCAGGCAAATACATGGCTAACACTGTATTGTATTGTATTTCATCTGTTTTGCTACATAGTAACACCTGAACACATCATTCAGTAATATAAGTTAACAAAATAAATCTACAAAGTTACAAGCATACTACCAACATTTGTTACAATCATAAGCAATATATAAATACAACATTCCAAAAAATACACAAACTACTGTATACAGCTCATGAATGGCTATGGCTATGACATCCAAACATAAGTACTTGCACCATCTGCTTTTTTATTAGAACTAACAAATTCATTTATCATATAAAAAGAATGTTTCAATAAAAATGATTTTAAGTCTTTTTTAAAAGCTAAAAAACCCACCGAGTTTCTTATTTTGTTTGGCACCTTACTATACAATTCTATCCCCATATTTACCATTTTTTTTTAATAATGTAGTTCTGCAGATTTGAAGATGGTATTTGATGGACGGCGTATAACACGTTACAGTATATCAATATTGAGTACAATTAATACTTTAACAACCAACCAACCTGTCACAGGTGTGCCATCTACATAATAGGTATGTAAAAACGGGCGTATTCGAATGCAACGTTCTATCAAAATTTTGAAGCAATCAGTGAAGAACTTTCGGAGATCTTCGACCAGAGTCAAACCAACAGTTACATTTTTATTTATATAGATTATAACTCTGAATATTTATATTTTGGATCAAATCTGCTTTGTGCTTTTTTATGCAACATAACACCTCTAAGATATACAAAGATGTGACCGTGAGGATGCCATAATCTTTAAAAGTTTGCCTGCATGACTCTTGTTTACCAAGTCCACTAATTATTCACAACACCCTCTTCTGCATTTTAAATACCTTTATACTATCACCTTCACCCTCCCAAAATATTATTCCATATCTCAATAATGATTGAAACTTTCCAAAATAAATGCTTCTTAACATATCTGGACTCAAAACTCCTCCTAGTGATTTAATTATATAGGATGTTTTACTAAGTCTTGAACATAATGACTGCATGTGGTTATTCCATTTAAGGTTTTCTATAATATCTACACCTAAAAATCTCAGTTCTGATGAGTAAGCAATTTCCAAGTTGTTATAGAGTATCTATGGTCTAACTACAAACCTACTTTTTCTAAGATGGAATGACATAGCAACCGCTTAAAAAATTTGTGGGCCCTGAAAAGGACCGTTTGTTCGGCCGTGCTTACTGCTTTGTAGCAGACCAGGTCTTCTTTATGGCCGTTCAGCTACTCTGGCTGGCCAGTGATGTGGTGCTGTGTGCACCGGTAGGAACAGGTGCCTATGGTGCGGTAGATGACAGAGCCATTCTCTCGGCGCGGTTGCTGGAGAGCTGTTACTGCTTCGTGACTTGAGAGTAGCTGTGTTAGCTGCCTTGGTTGCAGTGAGGAAGATCGAAGAACTGATGATAGCAAGATTTGAGCTCCGCCTTTTATACCATGCTTGTTGGCCGGAGCTAAAGTCACAAGGTAAAATAAGTTTAAGACTTCTTGAATGATGTTTTATATCATTCAAAGAGTCTTAACCTTATTTTACCCTATGACTTTCGTTTTTATATAGTCTAGTTCTTTGTACTTTTATGCCAAGCATTTTGTAATGTAATAATTATCATGTATCCAGTTTTTACCAGTACTGCAGTTCAGTTGTGAGAATATGTTAATCATGTATTTGCCTGTTAGCGTGATGCACAGAACATCTAGCCAGCATGCATACATTAAATACATTGTAATTTTAATTTTGTTTGGCTCATGCTAATTCCTTCCATGCTTATGTTTTCACTAATAATGCCCTATTTTGCATTTCACCGGTCATTTTACTATTCAGTGATACTGACAGTGTTGCAAAACACATAAAGAAGAAGCAGTTGATATTCTTGAAGCTGAATCTTGTAGGCAATGTCAGGAGCTGAACTGGTCTCGTTGCACACTGCAGTCATTTGTTTTCTCGATATTGCTGTCAGATACTAAGCATCCAAAAAGTGTGTGGCAGGGAAAACATCATAGGACGATATGCGCTCTCTGATGAAAAGCAAGGCAGACAAATAGAAGTGGGGGAAGATCAGACACTTTACTTGGAATGAAGGTGCATGCTCAGACTAGGAAAGGGTTTCTGTTGATGCAGCACTGTTCCCAGTGAGTGTACATGCATAAGTCTCTACGTATAGCTGAGCACATTATTTAACCCGCATTTGCAATGTTAGGGGAAGAACATAGACTGAGATTGTTTCTGGACTCGGTGCTGAGGGGGATATTCAGGTGCAAGATGGGGAAGTGAGGGGAGGATGGAGCAAATTTTATAATCAGGAGCTTCATAATTTATACATTTCACTAAATATTATTGAGACAATCAATTCAGTGATTGTGAGAATTTGGGGAATGTAGCATGCATGGGGGAGAAGAGAAATGTATAGAAGTTTTATAGAAAAACATGGAGGAGGCAGACCATAGACCCAGGTGCAGATGGGAGGATAATATTAAAACTGGTCTTAAAGAAATATGATGAGAGAGTGTGAATGTTATTCATCTGGTTCTGAGTAGGGAGGATTGATCAGTTGCTGTGATTACAGTAATGAACCTTCAATTTCCATTAAATGCTAAGTTCATAAGTAGTTGAGCAGCTATAACCTTCTCAGGAAGGGTTCTGCTACATGGGGTTCATTTTATCTGTTTTAATTTGTCATAATCATTATCGTTCCTGTCACGAGGATCAATGTCTGACACTTCTTGGTGGTGGTATGAAACTGTTATGAATATTATTTCACACGGCCACTTGGTCTTGTTAGATGGATGGGTAATGAGTAAAGCTATCGGTTGATGATACTATGGATTTAATTATTTAAAAAAATTCAAGCATTGTACATTTGTTTCTGTGCGCTTTGACTCCACATGCATCTGCAAATAAAACCTCGTAAGAACAAAAGTGTCTATATACAAATTGCCTATGCAATATTTTGTATATATATTTTGGTCAAAGAAGTAACACATTGATAAAAATTTACATTTTCACATGGAATGTTTACATTGCTTTAAATTGTACATAAGCTATTAGTGTTACATATCACATCGCTTTTGAGGAACAGTACATTCATTGCCTTAGGACTATCAGCAGTCAGTAGACGTTATGTACATATTTCACAATGCAACATTTCAGCTGTAAAGTTACACAGAAGCTAGCAATAAACATAATTATGAAACTGTACTTTCTAATTAATTTATTAGTTGATTTCAGTTGTATATGATGGCAATTTAGGTACACCACATTCATTCTTGCTCATAAATGTAATATAAAGGTTAATTTTTATTTCATGAGTTGATTTATGCTGGCCATAAGCGATTAAGATAAATTTATTATTAAGCAGTTCAATTCTGCATTCTTAAAAAAAATTTATTAAGAATCATTCTTGAATATATATAGCTACACATACCTTTGTATACAAAACTGATTAATACCAAAATTAACAGGTAAAATAAAAATCAAGCATTCAAAGATTCAGCAGACATATGTTTGCCTGCAAGCAACATTAAGAATTAGAAGCTTAGACACAAAAGTTCCTGTTTCTAAAACCTCTTATTTTTTTCCAGGAACTGTTACTTTCAAGCATATACTTTTGTCTTTTATCAGCATATCATGGCGTTTATTAAATATTTGTTTTTGAACCAACACAGCAGTAATTAATTTATTACATTGTGATTTCATCTTCTTCTTATATTCCTCTCTGCCTCAGCATCTTCCTCTTCCTCTTCCTCCTTTTTATTTTCCTTGAAATATCCGTATTTTTGGATGTGTAATATCTGCTTAAGCTATTTATATACTAACATGGGATATTAAAGTACAAGAAGTTTTGAATTTCTTTCTCTTGATGGTTTATTCTCTTCAGCAAATAGTTTTTAGACAGAACTATTGTCACAGTGTTACAGAATTATTTGTTCATTTCTAGCATTTGCAAATTTTCTCATGCCATTTCTTCTAACCAATCTAATGCCTTCACTTTCACACTACTCATATTAGAAGGATGACTGGCCAAAGTCCAGGAACTTTCTAACAAAATGATGCTCTCTCTATCCTGACAATAAGGTGTGTCTCATTTCTCCCACGACTTTCTCCTTTCACCCCCTCTTCTCCTGTTCTCTCCTATCTTGCCCTCTATTTTGGTTATCAAAATCAAAATGGTGTCAGAGTCTTGTGTAGTGGTGACCATAAAGTGATTTTAACAATGTTTCCTTTGAGGGCTGTGTGGTACTTCTGCCTATCTTGGTCAGTAACAATGTTGTCACTTCCTCTCGTAATGTGTGGTACAGTTAACGTTGTAATCTGTTCAGAATCTTGCGATTTATGTTCTTCAAGTCTGGACACCAAGTAGCGATTAAACCGTGATCTTATGTGCAGGAACTTGAGGTGAATCTGGCACTTCTTGTGTCTGTGATGGTTGTGCAGAGTGTTGAATTGCTTGATGCCTTCCTCACACGATATGGGTCATAGCAGGTCAGATGTTCAGCAGTGTTGGGTCTGGTGATCTGCCCCAGGTTGCGGAACCCAAGTTGGTGGGCCAGAGTGCGAATTACCTTGCGCTTCAAAACAAAGATGCAGAATATGAGAGCCCCCTGTAGAGCATTGGCTGCGTCAGACAGGTACCAGATCCAGGGCGGTTCAGTCAGAAATGAAGAGACAATCTCCAGTGTCCAAGTGACCCCCATCACAACGAACAGCTTGGCATTCATTATGAGCCTAGAACAAGCAATAGAAAATATTCTACAGCTCGTGCAACAAACCAGGAATCTGGAACTCCCGGCTCTAAAAGATTTAAAAATTAACAGTTTAAATATTACTGTGGTGCTACTATTCCTCTCGTTACGTCTAACCACTATGTTCTTAGGCTAAGCAGGAGAAGGTCTGTAGGTTTGTCTCTCTTAAGCTGTTTCCATGGAAATGACAGGGAGATCTGCCTAACATAAATAGGAAGTGTGCCATGACGTGTTGTGAACAACACTTATCTAACTAAACTGTTTAAAAGTAAAGAAGAGGGAGGAAGGAAAGGGTAGGTGAATTATGATAGGAAGGAAAAATAAAACGGACTGGAAGAGAATGCCGAGGAAGTGAGGGAAGGGTGCTTGGTCTTTCTTTGACTTCTTCTCTTGGACATCTGACATTTTAAGCTATTTGATTCTTTCTTACTTTGTCCCTTGTATTCATTTTAGTTTAGTCTTCAACCATTTTATTTCTATTCCATTTCATCCTCTCCTTATCCACCTTACCATCTTTCTGCCTCCCCCCCCCCACGGTACCTCTCTTAGTGCCATCGTCTCCTGTCGACCCTGAGCCCCTTTCCCCATATGAGGACCCACCTTTGTTCCATGTTTGTCTTGTTCCTCTACCTCACATCTGAGGCACTACATTCCTCTGAAACTTTGCTAACAATCTGTCGGACTATGCGGCATCATGTCCTGTAATACAGCAATCTTCAGAGTTACGTGTTTACTTGGGACCGCATGCTCTCATGCTCCAGTCAAGTGCATAATCATGTTACCATATGTCCAGTACTGGAAAGTTCCAAATTCCAGATTCTAAGCTTTTCTAAAGATGCATGATGACTGAGGGGTCATTGTGGGCAGGTCCATTTGCTAGGAGAATTATTACACTGTGCAACCAGTGCATGCAGTGCTCTATCGGTGTACTGTGTTATCATAATCTCGCGAAGAATCTTTACGATTTTATTGTATGGAGAGACTGAATCTGGTCCAACTGTTGCCCAAGTCAGGAGCTGCCAGTTCGTGAAATTTGCTTGAATTTAAATATACATAAAAGAGTGGAGTGGGGTTTCAGCTCCCGAATTATGCTTTCTGGGGTTAAAGAACCCTTCGCGTATATCCTCAAAACACCACGGAGGATCGCAGAATGTACACTGTGGAGTTGTTAATGCTCTCAGATGGTGTGTTCCTTCAGTGAGCATCTATTCTTGGAAATGTAAATGTTGGATAGGGACGTTGAAAGACATGAGGACATCTTCCATTCGTCCTCATGCCTGATTTGTTTCTCATAAGCCCGAAAAGTTCGCTGAATCGGCGTCTGTATCGTCGACTGATATATTGCAGAAGCGCTGCAGTCATAATTCTGTTCGTTTGTTGAACGGAATTTGTAAATCTGCTGTCAGACAAATGGAAACGTTACATGAATATCACTTTCACAATCCATCGTGTAAGAGAAATTGCCCAAGCCTACAGATAGAATAATGCGTCCCACCTGGATTCTCAGCTCGAAACAAAATTTTCCTTCAATTATGATTTGAAGCACGAATTTAAATAAACAGTAGCCTATTTAAAATCAGTTTTGGTACCTCACAGAAGACGCATCGTGTGTTAATTAAAAAAGAAAGACCAACCGGTTAATGCTGTTTAGGGAAACAGTCGCTGTTTATTGTGAGCACCATACGGAGCACACAAATGGACTGTTTGGTCAGAATTCAGAATTTTTAATGCTACACACAGCAGATGATACCACTGTGCATTAGAGGGATAAACAGATCCACTTGCACCATTCGGAACTTGAAATGCCTAATATAATATGTGATTTTTTCTATTTTTATCTCACTTTCCCCGGAAAGATCGTGGTGTCTTGCGTGTGATATAAATGACAGGGCGATGCGAAGAATAAATAATAATGACTTTCACAATTTATGTTGTACGCTAAATATTATTAGAATGATCAAATCAAGACGAGTTAGATGGGAGGGGCATATAGCATTCACGAGGAAAAAGAGATAAACGCCTGTAGAAGTTGGAAAACATGAAGGGAAACCTCCACTTGAGAGACCTAGGAGTAGATGGGAGAATGACATTAAAATTTACCTTAAAGTAATATAATGAAAGGGTTTTATCTGAATTCGTTTGGCTCTGGGTTGGAGCTAATGCTGGGTTCTTATGAAAACTCCAGAAAACTCTGGAAGTTTCTTAACCACATGCGTGACTATCAGTTTCTCAACATGGCTTGCTGCACAAAGCCAGTGAGACTAGCGGAATTTTGATATGAAACAGCTCTAAGTTTGTTCACGTCCCTTTAGGTTTTGTAGTTCGCGCTGCCCTCACGTATATCTGTGCGTCACGGGAAGATGATTTGAGGACGAGGTAAGTCACATAAGAATATCCGGGACTGGAACCCACGACTCTGAGCGCACGGATTTACAACAATAAGTTCTCTTATGCTAGCGCACACTCGGGCGAAGAGTCGGACCGGCCCACAACGCCACTGTTCTTACTTGTTCTTATCCGCCTGGTACCGCCTTTTGCATCTGTCGCCAATAGAGTTCTGCTGCATGCGGTAGATCTCTGCTTTCACCTTGGAGCAGCTCCGGGCAGTGAGCACGAAAAGAACCACGTTGCAAGTGATCATTGGAGACACAGGACCGAAGAAGTAAACTGCGATACCGTATGTCATCTCTGCAACAGACGGACAGACTAATTGTCATTTGCACAAATCTTCACGGCTGTCAACAACTGCCGGTCACGGTAGCCGAGCGGTCTAAGGCATGTATTGTCTTCCCTCGCTCTGAAGCCGGGATCGTGGGTTCGAATCCCACACAAGGCATGGATGTTTGGTGTGTGTATGCGTTTATTCTGTGTTTGTGTTGCCCTATGTTTAGGTAAAGGCCTTGCAACGAGCTGATCACCCGCCCAAGGAGTCCTACCGTCTGTAAAATGATCATGAAACTGAGAAATCAGCCCAATGCTCCAAAGTGGGAGTGGAAAGAGAGGGAACATCAACAACTGTCAGCCTGAACATATCACAAAATTGTTATGTTGCTACACGTCTGTTGTCGAGTAAGTGACTTTCTTGCGGTCACATTTCACATCCTGGCCCCCTGGCGTCTCTCAGCCGTCGCTGTGTGTGAGTTGATTGTGACGTACTTGAGAACCAGCAGTAGTGGACGCCCATATCGGGTTTCAGTGTGGCTGGCGACAGGTCCAGAACGTCTACAGCGGCAGTAATGGCGGTGAGGACGCTGGGAAGCCCCCAGGCGTATATCGAGTAGGCAATGAAGCGACGCCTCTCACGCTGCTTTCTGCTGCCGCCGCCTTGGCTCATGGACCGTATGACCCTGGACACAAGACAGTGTATCACTTTCAAGCAAATAAGCTGAGAAAGACACAGGCGTGAAAGCAGGTGGCAAGCCGGCCGGTTGACTTTCAAAGGACTTGATAAATTGATATTACTGGGAACGCAGGATTTTTCGTTCAAGTTATGGGTGTGGGTATGGTGTCTGAGTACAGGTTACTGAGGTGAACATTAGGACCCAAGTAGGAGGCTGCAGAAAGCTGCATAATGAGGAACTTCATAACATGTACTCTTCTTAAATTAAAATCAGAATCGTTAAGTCAAGAATTATATGATGGACAGGGCATGTAGCACGCATGGAAGAGAACTGCATGCAGGATTTTGGTGCTATAAACCAGAAGGAGCCGGTCACGGTAGCCGAGCGGTCTAAGGCATGCACTGTCTTCGCTCGCTCGGAAGCCGGGATCGTGGGTTCGAATCCCACTCAGGGCATGGATGTTTGTGTGCGTTTTTTTTGTGTTTGTGTACAGGTAGAGGCCTTGCAACGAGCTGATCACCCGCCCAAGGAGTCCTACCGTATGTTCAAGACCGAAGTGAACGGAGGAGTTCATGGAGGTAGGCCTAGGCCCACTGGGGCTGTAGTGCCAAGGGGGGGAAAAAAAAGAAAAGAAAAAACCCAGAAGGAAACAGACCACTAGGAATACGTAGAGGTAGGTGATAGGATAATATTAAATGTGCCTTAGGGAAATCAGATGCCATGGTGTGGGCTGGATTCACGTGGCTAGGGATACACACAATTGGCGGTCTCTTGCGACACCTTCGGATTCCATAAAATTTCATGAAATTCTTGAGTAGCTGAGCGACTGGCGGGTTCTCAAGAAGGGCTAGGTTCCGTGGAGTTACTTAATTTGTTAGTTGCGAAGATAGGCATAACTGACAGGATACGTGCTGAGCCTACTTAATTTGTTAGTTGCGAAGATAGGCATAACGGACAGGATACGTGCTGAGCCTACTTAATTTGTTAGTTGCGAAGATAGGCATAACGGACAGGATACGTGCTGAGCCTATGGCAAGAGGTCTCAAATTATATACGCACGAAAGGAAAGTTGCAAACGCTTAGTTAACCACAGTAACTACAGACGCTACCTGCTTCAAATTTTTTAAATTGTAAATTCTGCCCACACCGTGTATTTATGTGTTTCGAACTCTTCTCAGCATAAGTAGCTATTATTTCCAAAAACAACATTAACCGACTTGTTTTTATAATGGAGATACAGTGAGTTTTCTGTGAAGTATACCCGGATTTTAAACCCCAGGCCCAAAAACTCTTTTTAGATATTATCTAATCATGTCTTAACTCTGATATCTAAACATCAAAATTAGTCCTCAATCAGGCGAATTTTCTTTCCAGTTGGTAACTTGCTAGCACATGCATCAGGATAAAAAACAGTATCTGTGAGGCTGCATAAACAATATCTGTTTTAACTCGAATGATGAACAGCTTCCTCCGAAATGTCAGAAGCCTCACACACATTGTTTGTTTACAGAAGCCAATGCTTGTCACGCCGCGCTTTGTTATGGCGTCACTACATTGTGCTGAGTACAGAAAAAAGCCTCATCACGTGCCGGAAATCTACACAAATTGAACACTGCTATGTATATGTGGCACCAACTTTAATATTAAAAAGCTCTGGATTTTGCCTACGCAATGTATTCGTTCTTTTTCCCATATGATTGTCGCGACAAACAGCGATTGTTTCCCTAAACAGCATTAACCGGCTGGGCTGTGTAGCGGAAATGTGAAGCCAGACACAGAAAATATAAGAGGCTTCAACTTGGCTGTGGTCAAGCTTACGACCGTTCAAATGACTAAGTTTTCATTGTAGCTTAAGATATGTAAGTTAGGCATGATCTGCTCTGTAAAGCCTGTACTGACAGAGGACTTGAGTGTAAAGCAAAAGGAAGAGTTTTCGATAACATATTATACGAGTATGTGCGAAATACGTGTATACACTTGACGAAAGGTCGAGTGTATACATAAGAGACAGACCCATCTTCTCGTCAGAGAGGATGTTACATAAGGACTATTACCGCAAAAGTTATGTTGGAAAAAAAAATCTCTGGTCGTGGGCCTCAAGGGGCCTGACGCCAAGACGAACTGATTGGCAGTAAACAGCCAGTCGTAAAGCAACTCTGACTCCGACTATGGTTCTCACGATAAACGGCGACTGTTTCCCTAAACAGCATTAACCGGTTGGGCTTTGTAGCAGAGACGTAATGTGTTTCCCGTGAAGTACGAATTTTCGTATACGATGGGTCCATAAATAGGGGATGGTCATTTCGGTCAGAGCTGCAGCTGACCCGAGTTTCGATGTGTCTTTTAACACGTCTCTCAGTGCCCAAATAGAACACGCCTACGTCATCTCAGTTCCCACCCAACTGCTGAAAAGAGAATCACACATCTTCCAAATATACGTGACGCCTGTTGTAACTGTGGCGTCGTTTATTCAAGTAACTGTTCTGTTAAGTTACATCCACTAGCCCAGGGGTCGCCATCCTGTTTGGTCGACTGGCAATTAGGAGATGTTTATAATTTTCAGCCCTTGCCGTAGGCACCTGCCGACAAAATGTAAACTGAAACAACTGTATTAGCTTTGCGCCTTGTACTCCCACTTCACATTTCCCAGAACTATTTTAGCACACTTTATCAGAAAAAGAAAACAATTAATTGGCGTAAGTAAGCTTTCATTAAGACTTTATTCCTCAGTCTTGAGAGCCGCTTCCGGGCCCACCGAGGGGTACCGAGGTCCCTTTCCCTGGTGGTAAAGCAACCGGGGGATGAAACGGACCACTTCACTTCATCTAGTGTCGAGGTTTAGAATTCGTGGACACATACGAGGGAGAGTAAGTAAATAGTTCACAAATGGAAGTAAAATAACTGTAATGGATGCAACAGGATTTCTATGTGTATCACTAGATAGCAGCACAGTCTAGCTTCATGACAGCCTAGGTAAAAGACGCGCCTGCGCATGTTGAGAGGCTTGGTTCAGTAGTCAAAATGGCGACGATACTCGAGTATGTACTACTGAAGAGCAGTGTTCTATTTGCACTTTTCATGGACAAAAGGACTAAATGCAGTGGATATTCATAAAGAAATGTTTCCTGTTTACGGTGGGACGTGCTTGTCACATAAAGTGGTTCACAGCTGGGTCGAGAAATTCTCTCAAGGACGTTGTAAAGTCGCAGATGATGCCCGACCAGGTAGCCCTTTTGAGATTGCGACAGAAGTAATTGGGCAGCGGGTGGAAGAGTTGGTTCGAGCTGACATGAGGATAACGATAGGCAGTGCAGCAACTGAACTGGGGTGTTCCTATGGTTTAGCATACAACATACTGCACGATGGTTTGAAGTTTCGGAAAGTGTGCGCACCGTCGTTGCCCAGAGAACTGGAAGATCGAGAGAAAAATTTAACTGAATGTGTCTGTCCTTGCAACGTCTCTTACGGTATGCAGATGGAGATTCTCAGGGAGAGGTGAAAATGTGAATTCTGCATCACACTGTGAAGTTCTGTTGCAGCTTCAGAATGCAATTCACTGAAAACGTCCAGGTGATCTGCCAAGAGGGGCAATGCAGACCCCATATGGCCCAAGCAGCCCAGGAGAGAATCCAAGAACTGCAGTAGGGACTTCTTGTACATCCGCCTTACAGCCCGGCCTTGTTCCCTAGTGACTTTCGTCTGTTTGGTTCGCTAAAAAACTCGCTGATGACGAAGAGGTTGAAACGGAGGTGCGGAAGTGGCTGAGACAACACTCGAGAGACTTCTGTGCTGCGGATTTCGACTCACTGATAAGGCGATGGGACAAGTGTATCAGTGTTGGTGGAGGATATGCAGAGAAATGAATGTTTTCCCGAGTTTCAAATATCACGTTTTACGTTTTGTATCCATTTGAGATTTATTTACTGACTCTGCCTTGTGCGTGAGCTCCCCAACACGTCTTTATCACATGGTACTTAATTACTTCGTGACCGCCAATTAGGGTGACACTGAACATAATCTTGTCAGATTCCCTTGGCACTGGACAGAGATTCAGACCAGAGACCGGAAATGACCGGGCGCTTTGCGATATTCAACAAAACATTTGCAAATTGTTAGGAACATTTTATAATTGTGCTGACATGATAAGGTAGAGGCCTCGCGATAAGGCAAACCCCTTCCAAGGACTCCAACAATTTCTTAGTATCAGAAAATAATTCAGAGATGGAAGAGGTTTGGTGACCCCTGTTCCACTCCCTGTGACATCAGGCACCTTGCTCAAGTGTCCGCCAGCTTGTCATCAGCCACATCCCCTCTCCAGCTCTCACTTGAGGGTGGGGGGAATAGAATGCAATTGCTGTTATTCCCTCTCGCGTTCTTGATAGTTTCAGTGACAGGCTTGTTTTATTGCATGTTTGCCTAACAGGAATTGGTACTTCAACAGTACTGAACACGTTTTGTCGGCTGAGGCAGTGGCGGCTCCACTTCGCCCGTCACGGATCTCTATCACATCTGAGCGCTGCTTCTGGATCGCGGCTGCTTCACTGTGCCTCGGGAACTGAGGGATGCGACTGTAAACAGATGAGGACCGCTTCCTAACCTATCCCATGCAATCCACAGTTTCTTGCTACATAAACTCTGTACTGAAATTTGTGATTTTAACAGCGGAGACTATGAAGAGTACTTTCCGGGATGTGAAGACGTGTAGTCCTGTTGAATTTTACAGACGTTTCGGAGGAACGGCCTGTTCTGCATGCTGGTCCCTTCCTTGCCCTACTATTCGAACTTCCTCTGAAACGCCGATGGACTTGAACGTGAGTGCAAGACGTGATATGTCGCTAATTTAGGTTTGATAGGTTAACAATGAGCAAGATTCCCCAAACTCGGATTCCATTTCACTTTTTTGGTTTTGGCTTTCTGTACCACTGAATGTGGCAGACGTCCACTAGGGCTCGTTTAACCTTTAAACCGCAATAGTTACTACTTATATCACCTTCTAGACCACTCAGAAACTAATAATTATGCTCACACCGTGTATTTAAGTGTTTTCGTATGGTTCTCACAATAAACAGCACTAACCGGTTGGGCTTTGTAGCGGAGACGTAATGTGTTTCTTAAGAGGTACGGACTGAATCTCTGTATTATTTGTGTGTTCCGTGTGGTTCTCACAATAAACAGCGACTGTTTCCCTAAACAGCATTAACCGGTTGCGCTTTGTAGCGGAGACGTAATGTGTTTCCTGTGAGGTACGGACTGAATCTCTATATTATTTGTGTGTTCCGTGTGGTTCTCACAATAAACAGCGACTGTTTCCCTAAACAGCATTAACCGGTTGGGCTTTGTAGCGGAGACGTAATGTTTCCTGTGAAGTACGGACTGAATGTTAATTTCATGTTTCAAAAGGTTAGCGTCAGACAGAACTATCGTAAGCCGTTAATTGGCCAGCTTGTATTTCATATTTGTTCGTCTTTGGACACCAGTGGTCACATATCTGTCATGTCGCGCGGTAATTACATCGTACAGTTCAGTCGGTATAGGTATGGGGTACGAGCTGGATGGCCAAGGTTCGATTCCAAGCAGGGGCAGGATATTTTTCTCTACTCCATAGTATCCAGACTGGTTCTGGGGCTCCCCCAGCACCGAAGGCCCTTTCCCGGGGAGAGGGGGTAAAGCTGTCGGGGCGTGAAGCTGACCACTCGCCTCCACTTAGAGCGGAGATCAAGAACGGTGGACTTATACCTCCACTTCCCAAAACGTCTTCGTGGCCTGGTGCTTAATTAAGCACAAGAATAACTTTAACTTTTACCTAATAATGTTAAATACAAATTTTTGTGTTGCAAAGTAGGTGTGCAGTTACTCTCTGGTCCCGGGAGCGGTTGCTGCACTGCTGCTGGATTAGCGTTTCCCTGAATCCAAGGAACAGATGCTGTGCTGCACGTTATCAAACCAATAAATGTTCTGGTTCAGGTGTGACACATCCGGCAGTAAGCAGGTGTTTACAGCTCATTTCTAACGATGACGTCCAGCGCCAATTGTCCACCGTTGTCCATTCCTCGTCAGAAACTCATTGTCCAGGACTTCCATTATAACGATAAGGTAACTTCGTGCCTATGCTTAATTAATTAAGCACCACGCCATGAAGATGTATGGGGGAATGGAGGTATAGCTCTACCATTGTTGACCTCGGCAGTAGATGAAATTGAGTGGTTAGCTTCCCGTCCCAGCCGGATTGCCCATGGAGAATGAGCTCTCGGAATTCGTTGTATATAAGGATGGGTAGGTCCCAGAACCGATCTGGATGGTGTGCAATAGAGGAAAATCTCTTGCCGGCAATCGAACCCTGGCCGTCCAGTCCAAAGCCTGTCTCCAGACAGACTGATCTATCGCGACTCCCAATTTTAATGATAAGCCTAAGGGAAAATTAAACTTTTCTTTGTCTTCAGCTGCACATACCCGCAGTGATTCCCGTATCAGAATATTGTAACCATTTTTTTTTGTACTGCTGCCACCTGTCCGTGTACATAAACGTCGAGGGGCCTTGTCGCTAGTAAAACGCGTGTTTATCTAGTTTCTGTCCCCAAATGCTTATCAGTGTATCAGCATGGCGGCCTTCTGGGTTACGTCAGCGAGAGGTCGTCGTGTTGAGCTCCGGCCGGCACACCGGCTAACCTGACGGAGGTTTTCATGGGTTTCCCCAGGAGAGCCAGGCACATACCGGAATACGACTTCGATTAGGCCGCTACCGTTTCCTTCCAAATCCTTTCCAATTCACCATTCGGCGTGTTAAAATTTAAACATTGCCAGCCTCATAAAATAAGACACAGAAACTTGGAGCTTGTATCATAGAAACACTTTTGCGTCCTTCTTCAGGTTTTGAGTGAGTGAGTGGAAGGTCACAGAGAAGAACGGGGAAGAGAACGGCCGTGGAGAACAGGCGTTCGCAGTCAGAACCTTGAATGGGGAAAGGAGAACTGAGCGCTGACATCCCTGAACACGTAGGCAGAATATTTCTCCGAAATGTTGGAGCTACCAGAGCGCACGGTGTCATAACACTGAAGACAGTAACCATCATGTATTGTAAAAGGGAAATGAAATGCTAGCAAGCTTGTACGAGTATTACAGACCAACTTTGTAGCGCAGGAAGAAGTGACGGAATGGCCATAACATTCGGCCAAGCAGCGTACAGAAAACAGCAGTTAGGGCCGCGCGGCGGTCCGGGTTCGAGCCCGGGTCTGGTCAAGTGGCACTTGTGGTGGACGAAGTGGCGCTGGGGCGGGTTTTCTCCAAGTACTTAGGTTTCCCCTGCCAATCTTCATTCCACCAAATTCTCCATCATCATAATCACCCGGGGCAGGCTACAATAGGCCAATCAGTGGCCGCCGCGCCGAGTGGATCCAGTTGGACTCCACCCCCCACTAAGCGAATAAAACAAGAGACAGCAGTTAACACGGCTCGTTGCAACACCTGAATGTCGGCCGACTGGGAACTGCGAATTTTTTGGAATGGCAGTTGGGTACTCGGGGTTTGCTGGAATTCACCCAAGCGCCAACACGGTTCATTGGGACTTACAGAAATACCCACAGAATGTGAATTAGACGATTCTTTGTAATTTACCGATTGTGCACCAAATGGGAATGGTGAAGTTCGTTGGAATACTCCCAAGTGTCCTCCAGTTTGGAATTAGGCATGCGCAGATCACTGGAACTTACCCATTAACCACCAGACGGGAATTAACGAAGTTCGTGACGACTTACCCGAAAGTCCACCAGATGTCGAAACACATGATGTTCAGCCAAGAGAACGCAGCCAGGAATGTCAACAGGATACAGTAACCTGCAGTGAGAGAGCGTGCTTAGTGTTCAGTGGATCACAGTTGCATTGGTATGGAAGTAAAGACAGAAGGACACATATAAACACAGAACTTCAGAAAGACTCCTGGATCCGCACAGTTGTTTTATCTACACTAATGAATGTTATTGCTACGGAAGAAATGCTCGTATTAGCCGGCGTGACGTAGCGCGTTTCTTCGGGAAAGTTGGCAACCGTTTTCGGGAACCTAATTTATTTTACAACCTCGAATTTTGTCCCTATCGAAGCGACAAATTAACTGAGTTTCTTCTTTATTCATTACGCTGTGTGGGTGCTCATAAGCCGTCTCCTCTAAACGAGGACGCGCCATATCTTGGTGACAAGAGATCCGCTTAAACCGGAAACAGTCAAGAACAAGTAAATGAAACTTGACAACCTCGAGATCTCAAGTCCCCAAAGTGAAGCCCAAGGATATGATAATGTCAGGGCTATCGCACAACTCAGAGCCCAATGATAGATGCGTCTGGAGCAACAGGGAAAAAGCGAAAGACGTGGGAGAAGCCCGTGCTAAAGTTCAACTTCTTCCGCCACGGATCCCACATGAAGTCACTCAGGACTGAAGCCAGGGCCCTGAGCTATGCGACAACCGGAAACAGTAATAGACATCTCGGAAGTGGGCGAATGTGGGAGTTATTAGTGCTCTGCGCAAGTGGATGACGCCAATGGTAGGCAGGAAAGGCAGTCGCAACCGCTGGAACATAATTTTCTGCTGAGGGGCCACTTAGTCGGACAAGCACTAATCGAATAGAAGTGTAGATACGTATTCGTGTTTACGTTACATTGAGCAATCGTAATCTACAGCACATGTAGAGACTCGCCGGGGCGTAGAAAAATTGCAACGCGAAGTGTTTTTTTT